TATCGCACACATCTTTGTCAACCGAGCAGCTGGGGCAAGGTTTCCTACTCCGATCAGGTCCAGCTCTTCTATCCAACCTCTCAGCTTTGCACCATCACCGTCATTATTACCCAATAATCATCGCCACACACATAACCTTCTCTTCGTTTTATTTGAGCGTGATAGATGGTTAATAGCTATTCGCAGGATTATTTTATCGTCCTTGCGTCCGTTATTGCCTCGATTATCGTCGTATATTACTGCGGCTGCTACTATCACTAATGCTACTATTACCACTACTCTATTGGATTTGTCCATTGCAATTATCATTTTGATATTGTTCATTAGCTATAACTCAGTTGGTGAGATATCCTCATTTGATATCTCTTCAGCCATTTCATTCATCATTTCTTGATTTCAAACCATTATGCTGCTCATTTTATTCTTTCATATATTTCATTGAATTCTCATTTTGTATATCTGTTGAAATAATGCTTGCCATTGTTCCTCCTTCTGTTGTATCTTGAGCCAATTTGTTTCATTTGTAATCTCTTTCTGGCTTATAGATTAGTTTATGAGATTTTAAGTAGAGATGAGTAAATAGTAACTGTCTCTATCTCTTATTATTTAGCATCAAGTCTTTCAGGAAGCTTACAGAATGTGATTTGTCCTACACTGTTCGGTCATTGTTACGGCCCATCTGAATATTCGCAATTCATTAGTGATGACCAACGTGTGGAATCGCTAATGGTTAGTTTTTCACTTATCACTGCTGCTATTTTTTTCTTCCTTCTTAAAGTCAAGTAATTTAATGGGATGGCATGCTGAGAATACGTAGAATTTAATATCCTCAAACATTTCCTATTCTGTCATCGTTCATTTTCCTGTGCTTTTGTTTTCAATCTGTCTTGTATTTCACGAAGTCGTTCAGAGATTGTATTTCAAACACCGAGCATCGCATTATCAAAAGAATGATATCGAGAATTGTTTCAAATCTTCGGATTTCATTGACTAATATTTGGCTTATCTGCACTGATCAGAGTATACTAATTACCAATTTACATAGCTCAAGTTATTTCTAGAATCATTCACGCTTTTAATGGCACTTTTTAGAATATTTTAATAGCAATATAGTGATAATGCCTGTAGGGCATGTTTATAAATCTGTAAACGATTTTTGAATAACTTTCCTTTTTCCGCTGCTCGATGTTCACTTTAAATTATTCATGAAGTATGATGAAGCGATTTTTTTGTTAGTTGTAAATTTTGTAAATTAAATGTGAATTTAATCATTTTCCGGTATTATTTTCTTTAATGGAGAAAATCGTTCGATACGTATCGCGCGTCTTCGTCGTGCTTATAAATGCATGCTAATTGAGATATTTATAAGATGTGTAAAAAAAAGTTTTATCTGTACGAGAAAGTTAAGGTCCACTTTTGATGTAGGAAAATATTTTTGTTTTTCCTCGGCGATATTGTTTTACAAGTTCCTGAAGCACCTAATCAAATTACACTTCTCAAAGTTTCATTTCTTCCATTGTACTTTATGTTTATTCGTGATTGAGAAGGATTATATCTGACTTTCCAAATACATTTTCTGGAACAAAAATACATTTTAAGATTCAGACGGATATCTAGAAAGTGGCGGAATGAAATAAATGGTGCTAGGGTTTTGTTTCAAGTTTAATTTAAAGGCAACATCCCAAGGAAGTGTAGTTTGATAGTGCGTATACCGGAAGAATAAATCCATACCTTCTGGAGCATGCTGTGTGTCGGTGGTGAAAGACATGGGTAGTGAGACGTTAGAATTTGAAGGTCGTATCACTATTCTGTTTTTCGCCTCGTATCACGGCGACGCCCCCTTCTTGTAATTATCATATTCATCCTCTCGCCACCATATAGTAAATTCTTCCAAATTAGTTCGGTCGACAGTTCTCAATTTTCGGCAACTGAATATTGATATGGATCTGTCCATGAATTAATATCAATGCGAGTTATTTTGTTGCTGAAATTGTCAATACTAACGCTGTATGCTGTTAATATACTCATGTTCTGCTGGTTTTTGCTGCTACTAGTGTCGATACCATTGTTTTCACAGTTATTATATATAGGTGAATCAGTAGAAATTATAAATTTGATGTTATTATTTTTTTATTGTGTATGTTGTTTTTTAGCTAAGCAGTAAGTGAAATAATCCAAGTTGAAATTTATCTTCTTGTTTAAAATGGATGATTTCATATTGTTGTTTTGTATTTGGAATTGTTTTGGTATTTACTATTTGACATTATCTAATCAGACAAATTGTAATTTTAAATCGAAATCGTCGCATATTGATCGCATTGGGAAGGGTAATTTTATATTTTGTGGTACAATATTAAATAGGCTTTTTGCCTTCATTCATTCTAGTTGCTACTGAAACGACGCGATCTGCAATATGTATTAGTGAAGAATATGCTAATATTTCGAAAAAGTTTTCCTATATCCGATGGAGCCTATAATTTTCGAGTAATTAGAAACGTGTGATTAAATAAGGACAGGTTGAAGCTACTATTAAAATTTATCAGCTAGGCATACCGTAATAATCATCAAAGAGCCAACAAATGCCCTTAAATAGATGAGATTGAAATATTCTGTGAAATCAAACTTATTATGTATGAAATAATTCCTGCTAACCGTCTTAATCAAGTAGAATGCAAAGCATTGAGTAGGAAGATCAAAAAATCTTGGACACCTAATCTTGATAGAGACTGTGTTTGTTTTGTAAACAAGATCCAGTTTAAGAGGAACAACTCACGAACGATACTTAATAAGCAAAAATAGCTACGATTCTCTTCATCTCTTTTTTTATTGTGAAAATCCTTTGATATCTTCTTTTCCAACTAGCTTCATGTAAGTTGGTCTAAAAAGTAATTGGTAATAGTCAATAGCAATAATATCATTCGTAATGATTCCATATTGATATCGATGATAGTATGATGGCAGTAATGGTAATCATAATTGTATCGCGAGAATAACAATAAAAGTTGTGACATGAAGTTGGAAAAGTGTCAACAATTGTTAATGACAGTGATAATTAGAGTCCGGATAATCTGATTATGATTATGATGATGATCTTGATGATCACAACGATGGTATCAGCAATTCTTGTCTCCTCTCCTATCCCTTTTATTGTTCCTTTTTCTGATAGGAATGAATCTGTTGGGAAAAATGTGGCAGATGCACCATCCATATATATTCATCTGTTGAGCTTGTCTATTTGGTAGGGAAGTAATACATAATGTGAAGGTCTCTTTTTTTTTCCTCATTTCTATGGTATTGTTTGGCATTTATTTAGGTCAAAGGCAAAGTAGTAGCAGCAGATGGGAATATGGCCATTTGGCTTTTGATTGCCGATACGATGATGACCATAATGTGATGATAGGATGAGATGTGATCGCTGTAGATATACGTGTAGATGTACCAGCGTAGTATAGAGGAGATTAGGAGACAAAAGCATTCTTTTTACCGTTTTTGAAGACTATCATGAGCAGGAAGTAGATATTCGGTCCGGTAAGGATGGATGATGAGTAAATAGTAGTAAAAAGGGAGGGAGAAAAAGGGAAGCTTTCTTTATAGGAGAATAAGAAATGAAGTTCTTACCTTTCCTTTGCACAGTCATCATCATCATTATCATCAAACTATCATCACAGCTGCTTAAGAGAAGATTTAAGGGTGGGATTGAAAAGGGACGACAGGTGTCCCTGAAACAAATGGCGGCCCATTTCCCTCCTCTGTCGTCGTCAGTTCCATTTCTCTTAGTGAGGATTAGTATTATTCAACGGCAGGATACAACATCGATGGATGAATGGAAGTGATAGATATTACGCCAGTACTTCTTGGCCATTTTGTTACTATTTCCGATCCTCCTTGATGAAGTATTTTATTTAGGATGAAGATGATAGTATTTATTATTGCTGTAAGAAACTGTTTTTATATGTGTATCATCGTTGTCGTAATAGTATAGTTACAAGCTTGTTGAGGGATGGATGTGTATATACATACCTAAGATGAGATGCATCGTTTCTCTTCTTTCAAGTTTTTTTCCTTTAGATTTTTTCTGTCTTATTAGTGCATTTTTTTCATCTTCGTTGCTGTAAATTTGACGACCCACAAAATGATTTTTCGTGAGAGTTATTGTCCTTTTTTTCTTTCGCTCTGCGTAAGCCCATTCCAGCTTTCCTTCTCTCTTATTCCAGTTCTTCACTGCAAGTTATTCCCTCTTCACATTGCAAGTATTATGCGTCATGATTTGGTTAAATTTTTTTCGACTGAATTTTGAAATCTCATGTTGGGAAAAGAGAGCGAAAATGAATTTGCAAATTTCATCTTAGGAAAAGAAGGGACGAGTCATGATTTAATGGTTCATCGAAAGCCATTCATTATTAGCGGGAATGATTCTTGAACGGTTCGCTTCGTAGAGTTGATACGGAAAAGAGTGAGGGGTTAGAATTTTAGATAATCTAAGCTTCACTCGTAATAGGATGATTTGAAAAGAGAGCTTAGCATAAATAAATCTAGCTAGTTAACTTGAGATGGTCGGTTATTGCGAAGGTTATATGCGGTGAATCTGTACATTTGTGACAAGGTAAATGAGGGAAAGGTATTTTCCGTAACAAGCAGTGAATTCTTTATCCGCGATATGCTTGTTTGTGATGGTCAGTTTGATTGCTTGCCAAGTGAAAAGTTTTAGCAATTGATGACAGTAAATGTTACTAACAGTATTTAGTGAATAAAATGTATTGTCCTTGAATTTATTTGGGTTTGCTGATCGCCTATTTTGTCATTTGCTTTTTTGGCTTATTAAAATTTGTTGTATACATAATATTTATGTATCTGTATGTCGACTTTCAAATTCGTCTTACAACAGTTCGCTCGCTGCTGATTTTGGAATCTTGTTCTGTTATCCGTTGGGAAAATTCTGGACAACACTGCTTCTGAATTGGTAACTTTCTTTTTCGAGAATTCATCGAAAAAGACTTCTCCAACACGTCAAAGTGGTCGGTGATGTGTCGCTAAATGAAATTCATATCACAGCCAGCTTTGATGTGTTGTGCGCTTGTCGTCTCATCGTAACGTACACATTCACTATCATACATTTCAGGCTTGACTTATGTCTGGCTTGAACTTATGTCTTGGTGATATGTCGATTACACAACGCTTCTATTGGGCGGAATTGCATCTTTTGTTATTTTGTTTTTTATATTTGTTATTACTTGTAAGTTTTGGAGACACTCTGTGGAAAAGTTTGTTTAACTTGTAATCTCATGCTGCTATATTGATGCCACTGTTTGCTATATCTTTTGGAAACATATGTCTTCAGTACCATCATTGCGTCAGCAATTGGCCTATATCGCCAAGTGTCTCCGAGACTGTAATAGATCAAATGTGTTGGTTATAATAAAGTTATGATATTGTATGTAATGGGAATGTATTTCACTTATTTGAAAAGGATCTATTCATTTATCGTTTCTGTTCTACCCGCATTTCAAAGTATATATTGTTGTTTTTTGTCCTCTTTTCGTCCCGTCTCTCCAATTTTAAAACTGAATACTTTTGTATGTGACTAAATAATACCAGCGTCTTTTGTTCTTTCTTTTAAAAAAATAATCCGAATCGATAATAAAGGGAAGTATTGAGAGCGTATGTTAACCGTATGGGTTGATTCACATTTATGTGCTTCTTTGTTAATGATTACGGTTTATTGGTTGAAAATGATTTTCACCGAAGCTGCTGAATAAAAAGATGATAAATACATCCTGAAGAGTGATGACAAGAATAAAGATAAATATATAATGTTAACGTAATGTTTTCAGCTTCTCTGCAAAATTGTCACATGGCCAGGAGCGTTGACGAAGAGATGGATTTTCGAAAATTTTCTTGGCAGATATAGCATACTGTTGCAAGATACAGCGTTCCATATCCGGAAAGTAATACTGAAGTTTCTGCTTTCTTTCCTTCTAAAATTTCAATGTGTAGAGCGCTAAAAGGATTTCTGAAAGTCTTCAAATAACACAAAGTATTGTGAGTGGGTGCGTTGGTGATGCACGTGTATAGACTTGTCACGTGTGAATCATCCATCGATGCAAAGGATTCTTTTTTTTCTTTTTTTTTCTCCACTGATTGATTCGATGTAAGTGGGTGAATGAATGAGTGAGTGAGTGGTGTTGCAAAAAGTTTCACTCCTCCGATCCCTTGCCGTTTTGATGTGTGAAAGGAAGATTGTAATAGTGAAGGAAGGTTTATTGGCAAGAAAGAAAAAAGAATAACGATTTCGATTTCGAAATTGGAAATTTTTTAAAAACGAATTGGCAGTAGTCGCAAAGGAGGGAAGTTGGAGAGCTCTCTTTCTGCTCCATTATGTGACATTCGCTCCTGTCGTCGTCAACCAGCATCTTCTCGCGCGGATCGAAAAGATGAAAGAACAAAAAGAGCAGAAAATGGAGGAAGAAGGCAGGGAGGTAGGGAAAAGGATGATTTCGTAATTTTGAGCTTGTGCCAGAAAGATCAGAGGTTTCTTCCATTTCTCTGGTGCCTCAATCATTTCAGTGGATGAAGAAAGAAGGATTAAACATAGAGTGAATGGATGCGAGGGCTTATCATTACGGTCAAAGGTCATCCTGACAAGCCATCATCGTATCGTTTACCATACTTCTCACTACGATTTTTTGACGGGAATATTACACACACATGTATGTATACACAAATTATACGCATACATTGCGAAACATCCATTTTCCTTCACTTTGTGCCAGAAAAAAGATCATGTAGAAGAGAGAGAGAGGAAGAGATGGGCGGAAATATTTTGGCCTGATTGCTTTGCTTAGCAATAAAATTACTCCAGCGATTCTCCCCTACATTCTTGCGAAATTGCCTCATTTTGGAGAGATTCGAAATTCGAGAAGCTTTACGGTAGATGAGGGAGATAATTTGTTAATACGATTAAATTGAGGCCAACTGGGAAGATTCGCTCTTTTGATACAGATTCTAAAGCATTCCGGGACGGGAATCGATGAGATAGAATTGAAGATGAGAAGAAGAACAGAGTGATTTGAATTGGCATTTAGAGTTGATTTACACGGTTCGAATTCTTGAATCATCAAAGTGACTAATAGCCGATGTGATTGAGAAAATATGAGATATGGAAAATGGAGAAACACCGTTCCTGTATGGTTGATTGATCGTTTTTTTATTCATGAACTTCCCTCAAAGGAAAAAATTTTTTCCCTGCATATTTATGGAAAAAAAATTGGGAAAGAGAAAAGGAATATAAGGAAAATTGAATAAATGAAGTATAGAAACATGAAAGTTTGATTTTGAGATACGGTGAGGCGAAATATGTTTTTCGATGGATTGCATGAGATCACGCTAATTTATTTTTGAAACTAGCTGAAATAGCAAAACAGAAGGTCTATTTTGAATGCTAATACGTAGTTATTTAGAATCCAGAATGCAGTTTGTTACTGCAATAATATTCATATGTAAATCGTAAAGGCTTCTAATAGATTTCGTCTTGTACTGAAAGATGAAATCCAGTGAATATTAAATTCAACATTTTTTATAAGGATTTCGTTACATAACGTTTGAGATTTCAAAAATTGGTGGACAATTGTAATTTCTTCCAATTCATAAAGCTCTATAAGGTTGTAGTAATTCAAGGCATTTCCCACGTCTCAGCAAAGTTTTTATCAGATGACATTTGATTCAGTTATTAAGAATTAAGCAGATAAAACTGGTCTGTTTAAGTGTCCGAAAATTGAATAAATTATAGGTATACTAAATGGTAGTTGGATTTCCTATTGGCTTTTCCATACGATAGGATAGATCGGAGGGATTTTGACAGAGTTCCAATAACAAAAACAATGATTTAAACTTGGAACAACAACAGCACTTCTAGTAATCCAGTCACATTAATGCTTTTTGTTCCATTAGATGACTGAATGAATGGATGGATGGATTATATTTGTGGAAATGAGCCTTGCGGATTGGGATTTTACAACAAAGCTAGTGCTGGGTAAATTAGCCATCAAATAATGATGGAATACAAAATTTTGATATCGCAGAATTAAAAGAAGTGTAATGCTGATGGTTGAAATAAGATAAAATAACAGAATCCAGCGTAATTTAATTCCTATCAAAATATTTTGTAATGTAACACATACAGACAGATTCGGTCCTTTCAGAATCCTTTTTCATTAAAATAACTGTTTGGAATATTCGGTGAGATTTTATTCTCATCATATAACACAGTGTCAATCATAAATCGAAAACTAACAGCATATGATGATAACAATGAAATTAAGATTTGAATGGAGGATAAAAATGATAGAAGTTGACATGATTTGCTATCCGTAAGCAAATATATGTATATATTATGCCATTATGGAAATAATGAAGAGGTCAATGTTGCAATCAAAATATCAGACGAAAAAGTAAATAATTTATAGATGACAGAATGCAGGCCAATAAATTTGAAATTTAAATATTCAGTGTAAGGAAATATATCAATAGCATTAACTGTCCAAATACTCTTGTTAGCACTTAACTAATTTCTGTGATAACATGAATACATCTGTTATTGAAAATGATAGACATGGAAAGAAGAATATTCTGCTTATCACAAAGATGTTAGCTTTGATCAGTTCTATTAAGCTGATTAAATTCAATGAAACAGTCTGATATGTTTTGATAAAATGCTTATCAATGACATTTCATACTTCGATATCCTGCTATTAGCCTGGGCAGTTCTGGTATTTCACTTATCCGTCAATTAAAGGATTTTCTCATTTTGAGGATAACTTTATAAATATATTTGTGGAATGATCTGAGACATACACCACAGCCGTGAAATTGAGTTTATATATCCTCAAATAAGATTATTTTTCGTGAAATCATTGTTGACACTACTATTGGAGTATATCTGTTTATTTAATCACTTGATTTCTTATCAATTATTCCATAAATTTCAGACATGTGTAACGATTCTGGGAAAATTGGCAGTTATATTTGGGAGAAATTTCACAGAACAGGTAAAAAAAAGTTTGCAAAATAAATTTGTGTCAATTTTTAATGTATTTCAAAACTGTTTTCATTGAAAAAAGTAAAGGAATAACCCAAATGTATAAGGAAATGGAAAGTGATGGAGATATATTTTTTGGAAGAAAGAAGAAGACATTTATATAGAATTTTATATCATTTAATGTTGTCCATTTCTGCCTTTTCTTGTTTGTTTTCTCTTGCAGTTTTTCAAGTATTTTGTGAATTCAATAATCTCTTCACTCATATCTTGCTTTCTTGCAGTTTGCAGTGCCATTTTTAATGGCATCAAGTGAAGATCTAGCTTGGGGTGTACGGAAGTCATCATGTGAGGTATTTGTTGATGTTGCAAATAATTGCAGCATGGAAACAAAAGAACACAAGCTTGCACCGCGTTTTATTACCCTACTTCATGACACTTCACGTTGGGTAATTTCTTTGTCTCCATTTTTTTTATATTTATAAAGTTTAGTTTCTGTCGTAGCTATCCCTCCAATTATTTGCTTTCCATCTATCGCTTTGGGAGGAAATTGAATTCAATTGCGGCACAATTTTTTCAGCAGATGACCATCCTAAAAAAGACTTGTATTATTATTTATAATAACTAATGAAACATTTTTACTAGAAATTAAATTAAAAAAGAAGGAGGAATTGATGTAAAAAAATGTTCATTCAACAACTGCAGTGATGCTTGCCAATTCTCTTTGAAATTTAAAATAAACTCTTCAAACTAACAGTGCGATTATTATCAATGATTTAATATTTTCCTGATCGATTTGCTGTTTTTTCCATTTTTCAAAATATTGCAAATCCCAAAATTTTATGCAGTTCTCATTCGTTCTTTTTCATAGTGTATATACTTTTAAGCATCCTTTTTAATGGGCCATTAAAAAAAATATTTTTATTGAGGTCTAGTCTACTTTACATATAACTGAAGATCTAAGATTTAAGTTTTAGGCTCATACATTATCTTGCTATTGTAGGTAACACATGTGGCATTTCAACAGCTTGGCCGTTTCA